GTACATATTAAGCATGCTTGGATTCAAAGAAAATTTCGGGCAGCAAATGCAATTTGTCAAAATGAAACTTGTCTTTGAACCAAATCTTGTGCCCCGTAGTGTGTAACAGTGCTATTTTGAGAACTAAAATAATTTTATTCATCATTTGGCAACATTCTAAATTCTTGAATCTTTGCCTCTTGCTTCATTTGGTTGGAAGAGTAGATAGCTAAATTCCTCTTCAAGAATTCTTCACTTACATAATCTTGCTTTTCTCAATTCACACACGCAAAGATACTTCATTTTTCCAGACAAGTTACTGTCTTGCTCCTCCTCGAAGCAATTTATGGTACATTGCAGAAGCTGGAATCTAAATTTGGATGATACATGCCAAGCAAAGCAATGATGCAAATATGGCAGATTTAGAACTCAAAGATCAACTTAATTCACAATGCCCAGTTGTTCAACAGAATAAGTTTGAACAAATCGTTTTTTAACAATGGATTATCTAACAGCAGAGACAACTTCAAAATTTTCCAAGATTTTCAATGAGCCATCCTAAAAACGCAAGTAGAATGACATGGCGAATGAAGACACAGTGCTGCTAACAGGGATGCAGAATCAAAACCAAAAGCAGACCAATCTTTGCAAGCAGCACATGGAATAACCAATGCTGCCTGACTATGAACAAGATGACATCACAATTCACAATGTACTAATCTGACTATTACACCTTCCTTATTTATGCAAAATGACTCAAGGGCTTTGAATATTAGCATCCAATCAACATACCATTACCTTCCTCATTGTTGCAGTTCGATAGGCTCTGGTATCAAGTCCAGCTGAGTGTGCTCTTCAATCTCTGGACCCTCGTCCAGATGAGTTACCCTGGACTCAGCTGTGGACACTACAGGTTCCTGCTCTTGGACAGCTGATGCTCCTTCATCTGTAACCCCAGATAAGGTGGTGTTTTCCTCATTTGTTGAATCAGATTTTGTCTTTCCTTCATTGGCTGCCTTAACGGAGGGGGTCTTAGCCCCATTCTTTGTCTTAGACGGAGTCTTTTCTGGCTTAGTTGCACCAGACAACCTGACCCTTTCAGAAGGTAGTTTGGGAAGTGACTTCCGCTGTGGCTTCTTTGAATGGACTGGAGAAATTCCTTTGGTAGGGTTGCTCAGACAAGTTGTCTCATCAAGACTTAGTCGGCCTGATGGGCAACCATTGCTAATGTTACTTTCAGAATCTGCAGGAGTTGAGCTTTTCCTCCGACCCAGTTTTGGAGATTTAGCTCTCGTTGTTGGTATCTGCATTGAAGTAAAATGAACAGAGTGCGTACATAAAATATAAGTTTGAATGCACTGCAGCAATGCTTACTAATTTGTAAACAATACTAAAAGTTCAAGTATGCCACATTGAGTAACAAGACATTCTTATAATGAAAGTAAGGAAAAAGTAACCTTCTATGAATATAGATTTCCAAAATGTTATCTTCCCTTTTTTGGCCAAACATAGCAAATTCTTATCTATTTCCTCAGTTTTCAAAAAAACAAAGACAATCTAAGCACCTTTTATTGTGACTGTCATATTATTACAGCACATGGAAGTTTTATAGGATATGGATGGAGAAACTCACCTTCTTTAGTTCAACCTTTGGAGGTGGAGGTTCCTGATAGAAGCTTGGCATTGGAGTTGCTTTGAAGTTCAAACTCTTCCTGAGCATCTTAATTTCAGCTTCTTGAGTTTCCTGACATAAATTGTAAAATTGTAATTATACAGATAAATAGCTAATTATAGATTATATAGTCCATTGCATAAAAAATATAGCACCTTGGACTTTGCCTGCAAGTTACTCTGCTCTAGTTCTCTAGCATGAATCTTTTCCTCAAGTTTAGAATAGAACTGTGCAACATGATGGTAGAAGGTTAATTTAAAGAACAAATGGATGGAATAGAGAACATAAAATCTCAAATCTTAAGCATCTGTGATAACACTAACCTCTCTTCTTTTTTCAGCTCGTTCATCACACTTAAAGCTGAAGCCATAATTGGGAAGACCACCCACCCTCTGTGGTTTGGCATCCTCTGCTGTGGGACTTCCATTGAGCAATTAAGGATTAACTTGATATACATTCATTTAAATGAAACCTATAGATAAGAGTGCCAAAGACCCTACACGAACAACCCTCTCAGCCCACACAAGTAGTGAATGACAAAATGTTATTGAGAAGGATACGAAGATTGTGCAGCTCCCTCAGCTTTATCAAGGGGTGCTTTCCTCAAAGGTTTCAGCCCTGTCTTCTCCCTTTAATCCGTGAAATAACAGTTCAGAAACAATGTGAGGGGAAGAAACAGATAATAAAAGAAAACTTCTTCATATCAAAGTAGCTAGAAAGAGCTATCCTTCATCACAATAACAAAGTGCAAAAAAAAATACTGGAAAAAGAAAAAAGAGTTCACAGAATAAACATAGTGGCAAGGAGTACATACTTCATGCCTTCAGGCATAGCGGCATCTGGCTTTTCAGATTGCTGTTAGAAGCAGATGGAGAGGAAAATTCAATGATCAACAAACAAATAGAAATCAAAATTCAAAGAAGATTTTTACAATAGCATCCTGCACAAAAGCAAGAAACCTATTATACTGTTGATGCATACTTTGGCTGCCTGCCTATCATTAAAGGATTTGCTTTTAAGTGGCTGTTTTTGAAGCATAGTCCTGGCAACAGAACCATTTGAAGAAGTAGATGTCACCTCAGCACTTTTTCCATCTTTGCTTTTCTTCACCAAACTTGACGAGACATTCTTTGAACCCAAGGGCTTCTCATTCTTATGCTTGTCTTGTGGTTTGGATTTCTTCAAGTTATCTGCACCTTTCACTTCTCCTTCCTGTAAAAAAGACAGAAGTGGATATTAAATCAAACAAACGGAAATCTAAAGAAGCTGTCAAATAAAATACAAGTAACACTACCTACCACAGAAACAGTCAAGCCATTGCTTTGTGCACATTCATTTGATCCCTCCTTCAGTTCACCAGTGCAGATGCTCTCCAGATTCCCATTTTGTAAGTCAGTGTCGTCCACCATGGCTTTCTCAATATTTCCATTCGCATTATCTGGAAGGAAATTTTCTTCCTTGGAGACTATATATTGCTCATTAAGACCATTTTGATGGGCAGTCTCAAGCCCATCAGTGACTATGAGGTTATCCGAATCCATCAAACAACTGTAAAACACAAAGAACAATAAGCCTAAGTACTGATTAAACTCAAATAATTGAAGCAAACAAGCGAAACGAGTCAATCTTTGCTGACTAAACTCTCAAACTACAATTGCAAACACAACACAATCAAATGCAAAAAATTTGATGGCCTAATCACATAGCCATAACAATTTTCCATATTATCAACATCTTTTAGTGTAAAACTGACTAACTAGAACCCATTTTCAGAGTATCAAACGAAGTCATGAAACACGAAATCCGTCTCACTCACTTTCGATAATACAAGCAAGAAAATACTTCGTATTCAAGTCCTATTCATCTAAGACTTAATCGCCATAAATTAGAGGGGAAAAAAAAAAAAACAAATTAAAATCTCAGAGTTGCAGATAACAAGTGAAAAATCTAATTCAAACATTGTTATTCTCCTTTCAAGTTCAACAAAATTAAATTAGACAGCAGACGGAAATCAGCAAATAAAACAAACAGAGGCGGTACTGACTACATTCAACAGCTACCGCTGATAGTCAAGCAGAGTAAGCACCAAACAGTGAACAGATCCCCAAACACCAGAGACTAAACCAAAAACACATTGATCTGCTCAAGCAAAAGCATGCACCAAAAACACCAAACCACAACCGGCACAAGATTCTCAAAATTTCCTCCATTTTCCACAGTTTTCTCAGCAACCAAACAGAGGCAGTAACTCACCTCGAAAAGCGTGCGGCAATCAAAACTCCATTGAGCAGCGACTATGAAACCAGGTCCAAGGATCTGTGCAGGGGAGAAGATTTACGCTAATTAATCAGAGGAATCGCAGCCCTAAAGATGAAGATCTTTGGGATTGAAAGAGGAAAAGGGGAAGGATTTAGTGGAAATTTGAAATTGAAATTTCCTCATTTTATTTTATTTTATTTTTAAATGTACGGCTCTATCTTTTGAAGGCTGAAAGGTGTTTTACACCGGCGGCTTTCAAATATAATTGCGAGGAAAAAAAATACGGTTAGGATAGGATAATACAGCTACGCGGTTTTTTTACCGAAATTTCGCGAAAATACGGACGGTTATTATTTGTTTTTTGTTTTTTGTTTTTTTTTTTT